TACATGTTAACATAAAGAATGTATGGATCACTATACTTTACCTCTTTCTTCCTCCCCTGGTCTTGAAGTTCTGCCTTAATTTATAAAACTTCCTTTGTATGGCATCTTGGATACATATCTTTAATTGGCATAAATTTTCGTTTTTAGTATTTTTTTAACTTGCTTTATAGCCTGGGCTTAACAAGGCAGTCTTTTTTACTTTTATCTTCACATTTTAAACACAGTTGAACAAAAGAAATGTTATTAACACATTTTTACAAGAAATTTCTTTTTCCTCAGAATGTCAGAACAAGTTCAGAAACTGAACGTTGATTTTTCTTTGTAAGTTATGGAACAATGACATGAAAATTTTCATATTTTCCATGTGGTAGGAAAAAGGATATAGGTACAACTTTAATCTTATAAATACATGTGCACAAGTATATGTGTTGTGTATTTATGATCTGTTAGTTATAATAAACTGAAAGGAAATAGAATAACATGTTAATATGATATTTTGGGTCATGTGCTTACAGATCATTTTAATTTTTTTCTACTTTTTGGTATTTTCCAAATCTTCTTCATTGAAGTTTTAATGACTCTATTATTAGGATTAAGTTAAGTGATTTAAGATGTGTTTTCTACATTCTGAAACACCTTAATGAAAGGCAGGGTTTTTCCTTTTTTCTTTTTTGGAAAGAAATAGTTTATTTTGTAATCTTTTAAGAAATGGCAGTGACTGTTGCTTTTTAGCTTAGCCCTTGTATTTTACCAGCTGAAATATAGTCAGTTTAAAGATGTAACATTAGTAGTTATCTGAAAGTCTGGCAACATATCTTAGTGGTTAAGTGTCTAGGATCTGGAGTCAAAAGACCATGTTCAAATCCTGATTTCTGTTTGCTACCAAGTAAATGTCTTAAGTTCTTTTAAGCCTCAATCTCTTTATAAATGACATATATAAATGGTTAATTAAAGTGAAGTAATAATAGTACCTCATAGCATTATAAAGCTTAAATGAAATTACTCATGCAGAGCTAAACCTTAGTTCATTGTCTGGCACATGGTAAACATGCCATAAATGTTAATGTTATTTTTTTTTTCCTGCCTCTCTCTGGAAATCTAGGAGCTCTCCCTTCTTCCTTCAAACCTAACAAAACATTGTTGTACCCTACAGGATTTTATGAAATCAAGGGTAAACATAATCGAAGCAAGACTTTGATAATTCAACACCATTCCCTGTTCATAGGAATTTCCTACTGGTTATATTGGTTTTTATGCCTTGTATCACCATATATGTGGCTGGGCCTGAATCTTCAAACAATGTGGTCTGCAGTGTGGTTTCCCAAGTGTGGTCTACAAGATGACTTTAGATGACATAAAGACAACCCTTTACATTTTTTAAATCTATTTTTATGGGTGAACAAAAAATACAACTAATACATTAAGTCAGTGATTTCATGAATATTTTTTAGGGAAAGGTAGAAATGAGCATTGAGGAAAAATGCAAATTACTGTAAAGAAAAATATTAAGATATAGTACTGTAAGGTATGGCAAAAATCACAAAGATGGTACTTGAATGGCTGAAGTTTAGGATTCTGCTCTAGAGTCTCCTTCCTATGTCTGTGTCCAGGGTACTCATGCTCTATCCTTAGAAGTTCAGTAGAACAGGTGAAATCTGTCTTTGACCTAAACCTTTGTCATCTATGATATGCCTCAGGATCTCGCCTTTTATTATTTTTTCTTCCTTTCTTTTTTTTAAAAAACTAAATGGGATCTATATTTTTCTAAACAAAGAAATAGGAAATCTGCTATCCTCCTAGGACAATTGACTCGACATCAGCTAGCTTTAAAGTTTTTAAAGTTTGGAAAAATATACTGTTATATCTATGGTCTTTAAATCCATAGATTGTTGACCATTACCACCTTCTTGAATTCACTCTGTGTTTCAATTAAATATAATATTGTTTAGTATTAAATAAAACAACTATGCACTATTTTACTTAATAATACTCATTGAGTCTACCAATGTCAATTATTTTGTTATATTACTTAACCTACACATATATTGAATTAAATGTTTTTGTTACCAAGTTAATTTTTAAATGTAAATCAGATCCTAAAATTTTGATACTTGAGCAGGTACTTAAATTTGCTATATTCATGAGGATGGAGATTTTTTGCAATGATAGGGATTGTCTTTACAATTGCATGAAAGCATATTAGTATCAGTAAGTGTACAATTTGTGCATAATTCCTTACTCAGTGGGAGGCATAAATTCCATTCCTAGTTCATAAAAATTATATGAGTAGCATTTATTCCAAAAAAGGGAGTAGTTTTACAGTAATTTATTGAGGAGATAAACATGTCTGATTACAAAGAATTTATTTAATAAGCTAATAGCTTTATTTTACATTTCTAAAGATGTATACTTTTAAAAACACATCTTTGATGTCACCTATTTCTAAACGAAGGTTTACTCAGTGATTGTCCTGAAATTAAACTAGCTCATTAATTACTCTTCCTGTCTTTACACACACACACACACACACACACACACACACACACGTATAACTTTTAATTTTAATCCTTGGTAGACCTTACATGAAGTTGATAGACTTAAGAGTAGGAATAAAAATTTAATTTGTTTTGTTGCAGATATGCCTGTTTTATATATATACATTTAGTAGTGCTACTGAGAACTATAGACCTGTCTATCCTCTCCCGTGTGCTAAACTTTATTGATGTACATTTAAAAATTTAAAGATCACACATGTACTTTGAGGATCCCATGTATTTGAATTTTTATTTTAGACCATAGTTTTCCTCTCTATAACTGTTACTCCAAAAAGATATTCTTACATTTTGGTAATTAGATAAGGACTATATGAAGACATAGGTATTTGACTAACACATTTTGAAAATTGTCATATAAGCATACTTTAATGTGTGCTAAATTACAAATACTAAATTTATAGTAACTTGTTATGATATATATGTGAATGTGAATAGTGTTTTAGTAAAAATACATGTACATATATTGAGCCTCTACTATGAGAGAAATGCACATGTCATTGTCATAGGCTCCTTTTACCCTAATCCTTGTCCCTACAACTTTTACTACCAGTCCCTTGTCCTACTGTAAATTTATTGGGTAAGATGAGCAGAAGGTAACTCCTCTTTGTGGAACTTGGGGAACTTCTGTGTTAGGATTAAATCCACCTGATTAAATGACTTCATAATGAAATGCAGAACTTCCCTGACCACATTCTTAAGGTTTATTAGCCTTAATGGGTGGTCTATGAACTCCCAGCCTTACACTTAATATTACTAAGACGGAAGAAATAAAACCAGCCATTCAGCCTTCTCAGGCTTTCCTCTTATGTCTTTCTTTCTCCTGCACAGTCACTCCCAGAAGTTTCCTGCCCACATTTAATGGAATTTATAGTTAATAGAATATCAGGTAGTGCAAGAGAGATTTGTAGGTATCAAGGTTGATATATTTAATTATGTAAGCCAGTATATTTAGCATAGTGTAAGATTGGCCTAGGAGTGGAGTGATAAGAGAAAGGAGTATTTTGTAAGGTCCAAATTTCTCTCCCTGACTGGTCTGATCACTTTTAAGCCATGCTGCTCTCTTTATCATTGCTCTTTGATGACTTCTCTGTCTCAGCTCACATTCCCTAGAGTAGGCAGGCACACTTGTTAAATAGTAGGTAGTAGAAAGCCTGCCTGGTTTCTGCAGGCTCAAAGTTTCAATGAGAAAGGAACATGATTTGAAGCAACCATTTTGACGAAGCTGTTTTGAAAGATATAAGACTTTCTGAAAACAGAAGAAAATAACTAATAGTTTTATGCCTCCTACATAAACTTAAAATATGCACTAATCAACTTTTTATTATGGAGTAATGTAAGCATTAGGCATTCTCATTCCATTCTTGACTTCTCACCAACTTTTTCTTTACTGTTCTCTCTGCTTTCATGTTTCTACATTGCTACTATTCCACTCCAGATATTAATTTCTCATCTGAAGAACCACAGACTTTGAAATTGAGATAAAAGATCAAAGAGAGGCAAAACAGCAGCAGTTGGCCTCTCACTGTGGCTCTAACAGTAACATATGAACTTAGTAGCTTGTAAATGGTGACCTTCAATCCACCATAGTCATAACCAAACCAATAACCAATTTGTGTCATTCTTCTTTTAAGTTCCCTTGAGAGGGAATGATTCAGATGGGCCACGGAATTCAACCCATGGCTAGGTTCCCTTGGGTTTGTCAATGTATTAGGGACAGGGTGGCTGCAGGGTCTTTGGTCCGTTACACACTTAGTAACAGTCATGAGTATCAATTTTATTGGGTGATTGCAGCAGCCATTGGTACCTTTAAGATATATACATGTAAATCAGAAGGAGTTGAACTTTCTGTTGATTATTAAAATATTTTTATAGGCCATTAGTGCCCTATAGATTGGTTAATCTTTTTCTGTACATTGAATTTAGAATTTTTTTTTTTTTTTTTTGAGATGGAGTCTCACTCTGTAGCCCACGCTGGAGTACAGTGACACAATCTCAGCTCACTGCAGCCTCCGCCTCCCAGGCTCAAGTAATTCTCTTGCCTCAGGCACCTAAGTAGAGTAGCTGGGACTACCTGTGTGCACCACCATACCTGGCTAATTTTTGTATTTTAGTAGAGATGGAGTTTTACCGTGTTGCTCGGGGTGATCTCAACTTCCTGAGCTCAGGTGAGCCACCCACTTCAGTCTCCCAAACTGCTGGGATTATAGGCATGAGCCACTGCACCAAGTTTACCGTTAATTGCTGTATGCTGTGGTAGATAATTATAAATTACTGCAGTAGTTTAGAATTTGCCTTTTGTAACATACCTAATTCAAAATGAAATCTATTCTCTTCCTGTTAATTTAATTCTTTAACCATATAAGGGGTTATATAATATTAAAGGATTAATTATAGTAACTACTGTATCATAGATTTAAAAATGTATTAATGACTTTTGTCTTATAGGACAAACTATTCGAGAGAAAAGAATTGTAGAAGCAGCAAAAAAACAAGAAGTAGACTATGAACCAGGGGATATTCCTACAGAATGGGAAGGTAAGTTTCTGCTTTTAGTAGAATCTTATGGGAGGTAAATTGTCTAACAATATACAAACTCAATAAGACCATATATAATTATATAATGTTTCTCTTTGCAAAAAAATTTTACTGTCTGAATGTTTTAAACTTTGGTTTTTTTTTTAACATTGCATTCTTTGAAAGTTGTGAAGGTGCCAACTTTTAGTACGGGGATGCATGTATAGCAAAAAGAACTATTAAGCATTAGAAAAACTGGGACTAAGGTGAGACAAGCAAAAATCCTAAGATGCAAAATTTAAGCAGGCACTCACTTTCATATGGTGACCCTACACTTGCACAACCCTAGGATTTGAATCCTGTTTCTGGCACTCACTATACACATGAACTTGCAAAGTAACTTAAACTTTTAGTTTTTCCTTTTATAATTCATGCATGACACTTGCTGCAGATACCATTTGGAGTATTTTTTTCAACTCACAATGACCCTATTAACTGACCTATTGTTTAGACAAGAATGGATGCTTGATCCCTTTCCTAGGACTTTGAAATTAAGATAAAAGATCAAAGGGAGACAAAACAGCAGCAGTTGGTCTCTCAGTGTGGCTGTAACAGTAACATAAAAACTTAGTAGTTTGTAAGTGGTCACCTTTAATCTACCATCAAAGTTTTATTGCATAAAAAGCTGATTTATTTCAGAAAAGCTGATATTGTAGAAAAAGCAGATTTACTGAGAAGAAAACTGAAACTAGTTTACAATGAGAAGTATATAGAGAGAATATTTCCTAGTTTTCCAGCAGCTTTCTGGTTCCCAGTTCAGTTTCTATCTGAATGAAGTTCAGCTGCCAAGACTGAGTTCAAAATGGTACCCGATAACCATGTTATGTCTTTCCCTTTATTGCTTTACAGTGCCTAGCATATTGCCTGGCACATAGTAAGGCACCCAGTAGGTACTTAATCAGTATGCACTGAATTACATGAAATCTAGCTTGAGTTAGCTTTTGGTATGTGCAACTAAAAGAACCCTAACTGAAACCTCAATACCTATATTATACATCACTTACACATATCAAGTATTTACCTGGATGCCTGGTATTATCCCATTACTTTACCATCACTGTGTTTACTTATCACAAAACCCCATAAGGTAGGCGCTGTAATTAACCCACTGTATTAGGTCATTTTCATACTGCTATAAAGAAATACCTAAGCCCAGGCATGGTGGCTCATGCCTGTAATCCCAGCACTTTGGGAGGCTGAGGCATGCAGATCATGTGAGGTCAGGAGTTTGAGACCAGCCTGACTAACATGGTGAAACCCCATTTCTACTAAAAATACAAAAAATTAGCCAGGCATGGTGGTGCGCACCTATAATCCCAGCTACTTAGGAGGCTGAGGCAGGAGAATCGCTTGAACACAAGAGGCAGAGGTTGCAGTGAGCTGAGATCACGCCATTGCACTCCTCTTGGGCAACAAGAGCAAAACTCCATCTCAAAAAAACCCAAAAAAAACAAAAAAAGATGAAAAACAAGAAATACCTGAGACTGGGTAAGGAAAGAGATTTAATTGACTCACAGTTCACATGGCTGGGGAGGCCTCAGGAAACTTACAATCATGGCAGAAAGTGACAGGGAAGCAAGCACCTTCTTGGCATAGCAGCAGTAGAGACAAGAATGAAGGAGGAACTTCCAAACACTTATAAAGCCATCAGATCTCATGAAAACTCACTCACTTCACAAGAACAGCATGGGGGAAGCTGCCCACATGATCTAATCACCTCCCTCCTTCGATGTCATGGGGATTCCAATTCAAAATGAGATTTGAGTGGGACACAGAGTCAAACCATATCACCCAATAGATGGAGCACCTAAGGCCTAAAAAGGTTAGTTAATTGATCTGGGTTATATAGCTTCATACATGAGGAAACAGTAGGCTCATTGCCTCTTGGTTGGCATAGCATGATACCTTACATGTGGTAGCTATAGGCATTATGTTATTTTATGCCAGCATTTGAATGTAAACATATTTCAGTAAAAATATTTTTCCATTTCTGCTTACTAGCTGTGAAGATACTAGAACTATGAGAAATAGAACATAAAAATAAGTAGATGCAAAAGGGTTTTTGAAGAAATACAGAACATAAATTGGCAACATGTAGGAGGGGCAATTGAGCTTTCTCATTTTAGCAGACTCCAGTGTTATAAGTTACATTTACAATTCTTAGATAATGCTTGCACCTTCTTATAATGAGTCTGTTTTTATCATTTTTTCCAATAATAGTATAGAATTAAGATGTTTATAGAAATAATTAAGTTATAAATAAATGGGTAGGCAATGACTCATTTTTCAGCCTTTGAGACTTTCAGAAAGTTTGACTGAAGTTCTGATCTTTTTATCGCTGTCCTGATCTAGTAATTCAGCATAGCTCTCCCATGGAACATATATTTAAAACAAATGTATCAACCAAACACTAAACAAAAATTACTTTTATGGTGGTACACATTAATTAAGTGTGAAAAATAAGAACTCAACACCATGCAAAAGTAAATTAAGTGATTTTGGGTTCAGATGAATATTATATTTGTCAGTTATTAGTAGCAGGATACCGGTACCTGAAAGTTGCATATTCTCCTACAATATAGATTAAACAATGTGCCCTTTTTGTTCATTTCATAGGTAATTATTAAGGACCTCTACATTCATAGAGCTTACGTTCTGGGGTGGGAGAAAAACGATACACCAGATAAAAAACTAGACTATATTGTATGTTAATGGCCACAGAAAATAAAGCAGGGAGAGGACATAGGGAGTGTTGGGGAGAATTTTGCAGTTTTTTTTTTTTTTTCTTTTCGAGATGGAGTTTCGCTCTTGTTACCCAGGCTGGAGTGCAATGGCGTGATCTCAGCTCACCGCAACCTCCGCCTCTTGGGTTCAGGCAATTCTCCTGCCTCAGCCTCCTGAGTAGCTGGGATTACAGGCACGCGCCACTATGCCCAGCTAATTTTTTGTATTTTTAGTAGAGACGGGGTTTCATCATGTTGACCAGGATGGTCTCGATCTCTTGACCTCGTGATCCACCCGCCTCGGCCTCCCAAAGTGCTGGGATTACAGGCGTGAGCCACCACGCCCGGCCTGCAGTTTTAAATAGTGTTTAGAAAAGGCTTTGCTGAGATGATTTCTAAATAAAGACATAAGGAGCTAGTCATGCAGCTAACTATCTGAGCAGCATTACTGGAGAGCAAGTACAAAAGCCCTGGGGCAGGAATGGGCAGGAGCATGCTCAGATGTTTAAAGAACAGCAAGGAAGCTAGTGTAACTGGGATAGAATGAGAGAGAAAGTAATGGATACGGTTAGATAGTTAACAGGATTGTCACTCTGTGGGGCCTTATAGCCTATTTTAAAGACTCTGGTTTTATTCTTAGTGAGACTGGAAGCCATTATAGGGTTTTGAAAAGAGTAGTCATAAGTCCTGAGGTATATTTAACAGGATCACTATGGCTGCTGCATTACAAATAGACTTAGGGGAACATAGGCAAAATATGGAAACAGGAATTTCTTGTAATAATTTAGGCATGTGATTAATTGTGACTTAGGCCAGAGTAATAGTGAGGGGTGGAAAGAAGTAGTTGCATTCTGGATCTATTGTAAACGTATGGCCAACAGAATTTGATGACGTATTAGATGTGGAACGTATGAGGAAAGCAGTCAATAATGACTCTTAAGCTGTTTTAGCCTCACCTGGAAAAAAGACTTGCTGTTAATATACATGTGCAGGACTGTGAAAGGAGCAAGTTAGAGGTGGAAAGATGAAATCAATTTTGGACATGCTAAGTTTGAGATGCCTGTTAGACATCCAAGTTAAATTGTATGTGAGCCAAGAATTTGGTGGACGTATCTGTACTAAAGATAAAATGTAGGAGTTGCCAGCAAATAAATGGTATATAAAGCAATGAGACTGAAGAGATCACAAAAAGAATGAGTGTAAACACAAATGAGAAATTCAAACACTCACCCATAGGATGCTCCATAGTTTAGTTAGAGACAATGGAGACCAAAAAGCAGCTGCCAGAAAAGTAAGAGAAAAGAAGAAAAGTGTCATAGAAGCCAAATATTAAAGAGGAAGAAGTAATCAAAATGTCAAATGAGGACTGAAAATTAACTCTGCTTTAAGAAGAGGGATTTCTCACAAAAATAGTTCTGTAGAGTGGTAGGAGCAAGTACATGATTAAAAAAGAAATGGATAGCAAGAGAGAATTTGGAGAGACTGAGAATAGACAGTGTTTATGACGATTTTCTCTGTAAAGAAAAGGAGAATAATGAAGCAGTACTTGGAGAGGAAAATGGAGTCAAGAAATACTTTGTTTTGTTTTAAAGACAGAAGAGAATTTTGTAATAATGATGGAAAAGATCCAGTCAGAAAGAAGAATTGCAGGAAAGAGGACGTTCTTGAGAAGGCAAGATGAGGAGAACCTAGTACACAGGTGGAAGAGTTGGCCTTTGAGCAAAAGCATGGAAAATTCATCAATAGTGTAGCAGAAAAAGAGTCTGTGGACATAAATGCAGGTAGATGGGTAGATATGGTAGTGAGAAATTATAAATTCTCTTCTAATTCTTCCTAATGAAGAAGAGTGATTTAAGTAGCTTCCTAAATGCAAATAGCAACTAGAACCCAGATTGGAAACTAAATTATCTGCTTCCAGATTTTTACTCAGTATTATATTACACTGCCTACATCATTTATAACTTGGAAAACTCCTATTTTTTATTCACATTTTGGAGTAGGCATTGATTCTTTTTGTAAATTTTTTCTGATCCAGCCCCTAACCCCCAGCGATAAGTGAGATGTTCATTTTTTCTGTTTTCATCTCACTTCAGACCTTCTTCAATCATGACTCATAACACACTATATAAGGGGTTCGTTGTTTACTTATCTGCATCCTCCGCCCTACGCTTGAAGATTTTTTTAGGATAGGATCCTTACCTTATTCACTTTTGTATTCTCAGGGCCTAGCTCAATAGT